GCCTAACATCAACTCTCAAAGACTCTGAACCGTGTCCTGGGGCAGGCTCTTTTTCCGCGGCATTGCGCGACGTCCTGAGGCACCCTTGACAAATCCAAAAACGCTGGTCTCCCCCAGGAGGCCCGAGCCACTCCCACCGATGAGGCGAGGTAGAGGAGCGGGGGGCCTGAGCGGGGGACGACCACGAGGCACGCGAAAGGTCCGTGCGCGGCCACAGTGGCAACAGAGTAGCGCACAGTCTGACCGCCAGAAGAGCCGAATTCACAAGAGCAGTGCATTCGTTAGCTACATCCTGCGACGGCGCCTGGTGTGCATCAGCTCCCATCCTGGCGGCCTTGTCGGCAAAATCATTCCCTATCCTTCGGAACCGCTCCTGATCGTCGATCTCGGGATCGTCAATGGGAAGGTGTGCAGGCACTTTCTCACACCCAAGCGTCCATTTTTTCCCAAGAGAAAGACCCTGAGTCACAAGCCCCGACTAAGGACGCTTGGGTGAGATCTGCTGATGGTGGGCCATGCCGTGCATGGAAACTACATTCTGGCAATCAGAGTATAAAGTTGCTGGTGCAGACAGGAACGCACATGCCATGGCATATGCTGTAAATTCTCCTGCCTGAGAAGTCTGAGGGCAGCTGTCCCACACGGGGCCCCAGCTCCAGGCTAAGAGATTCGACTGAGGGCCCAGCATCGCTAAACCCCAACCAGCACGACTCGAGCTGCGGACCACCCGTCGCGAACACGAACCGTCTAAGGAAACGTGGCCCCACATCTGTCTGCGGCCGTCGCGGGGCATCTCCATGCCTTCCGCAGCAAAACCTTCAGGAAAAAACTGAAACTGAATAGCGTCGTCCTCCTCGGTTCTACTGTCGGACTTTGGGGGCGGGAGCGCACTCTGGGGGTGGCCAAACAAGCCAGAGGTGAGGTGGAACCGTTCTCTCTCAGGGACCGCTTCGAACTGCCTCAAAACCTGATCCAGCGCACTGCGGGGAATCACTGCACTCCTCTCTTCCTCCACCGCCGAACACGCGTAAAGTCTATGAAAGATCGTGTCTCCAGGCTGAAGGCATAGCGGGCAACGATCCTCGACTTTATAACCTGCTGCTCGAGCGCGGGCGTAGGGCCAGATTCCTTGACAGGCACAACAACGCATGGTTCCTTTCTGGCGAGCAGTAAACTTTTTTGATCGAAGGGCTTTGATGACGACGTCAAAACATAACGAATCGGCCCCTTCGGGGCCGTACTTGGCGGCCGCTTCCCTCTCCAAAGAACGCCAAACCCCCTCTTTGAGAAAAACCTGAAGAAGGGAAGGAGGCGTGAGCGTGAGGGGGTGCTCAACCCCCAAGTCGCTAATCATAACAAAGGGCGAGGGCATGCTCCATCCCAAGCGGGCCAAGGACAATTTCATGGCCCCGATGGGCCCGCTCACGGTCCTCCAGGTCCACGAACGCCCGAAAACATCGTGCCACATGTTTCGGAGCTCGGCCCAAGAAAAACAAACTTCCGAGACCCTCGTGGCACGAGCCCAGACTTCCTTGGCCCACCTGATGGCTGGCGCCACAGCACCCCACCAAGCAGGATCTCCTTCGATCCTGCTAAGAATGGTTCAACTTCGGCCGCCGCGGGCAGGCTTCATCGTAGAGGCACACATGCGTCTGACTTTAACGAGTTCTCCGTCACTGATCCCGTGAACCTCCGCCCCATAATTAACACCCGCAAGAGGTCCCGCAGTGCAGAGCTTGGTAGCCCTCGGTCCTAGAACTCCTCTTTGACGAGCCAGCCTGCCAGCGCGCCTAGGGGCTCTCGCAAAGCGCGTCTTCGCTCTGCTGTTGCGCCCACGGACTCGCCTGGCGCAGCCCGCTGTGTCATCTATCCCCAAATTGACGACAGACTCAGTCAAGACTCCTCCAAGCACCCCAAGTCGTTTCTGGACGTGCCTGGCGATTTCCTTGGAGGACGTGACCAGCCCGACCTTGTCGGGGGAGACTTTCGCAAAAAGAACCTTTTCAATGATCTCCTCAAGGGACTTCGCCGCTTTCGGGAGTTCTATCATAATGTGTCTGGTGGTGTCTATCGCATTGATCCCGAGGTCAACGATGTAAGCGTCGAACGTGATCCCCTTGGGAACCCCCAGCTGGTCGAATCCACGCGAGGCAAAAATCCGGATCATAGTGGTAGCAAAACTGCAGCCAGCTATGATTCCAACTCTCGCGTAAGTAGGAGGCGCAACCACTCCAGCAAGCACCAGGAAGCGGGCAGAACGGCATCCCGCCATGCACACGTCGGCGAGCGCATCAGGGAGGCCGTGCTGCCTGCATCGAAGAGCCAGAAGATCGAGAGGGGATGCGCTCGTAATATTTAACAGAATCCCAGAGGAGAGTACAGGCCTCCTGCCCGCAGGCACGCGAAGACTCAGAACGGGCACTTTGCCTCCAAACAACATCACAAGCGGACTTGAATTTCCCCGCCGCCCAGTACTCTCCCTGGTGTTTCCCTTCCCACTCAACCGCATAATCTCTCCTGCATTCCCCCCGCAATCTGTGCAGGCTGGGGGAGACCCCGATGGGGCGGAAACCAGTGGAGGGCTTCGGCAGCATAGCAATGATAACGGCCTCCAGCTGCGGGAGAAGGGTGCCCGTGAATTCCATCAACGTAAATAACCGCGAGAGGGCCCACAGAGCCCCGTCGGACATCACCGAAAAGTGTCTCAAATGAAACCCATCCAGGCCCGTGGCGGACCTATGGGCAAAAGTGCGAGAAACCTTGCGAATAATGTCCACCGAGATGGGGGGGAGGGGAGCATTAACTTTCCCTGGCCTTTTCTGAGGTACAGGGAGCCCTTCCCACAACTGGCGAAAACGATGAGCTTCGGCGGCCAGGAGCGCCTGCGGGTCCGACACCACGCAGCCCCCAACACTAAGCGTAGCGGATGGAGACCATCCTTGAGGATCGTTAGTGTAGCCGTGCGCCCTACGTCCACCCTGATCGACATTCTCGGTGAGCCAGTCCGCCCAGTCGCGTCTGGCCTTGGTGGCGTAGAAGGCGCTACATTGTGTTACAAAGTCGGTAACCTGGGTAGAGACCTCTTCGACTTGGGCTGCCAAAACCTCCAGAGCCTCCAAGAAGCTAGGATCAGAGCCCGACCCTTCATGAGGGTCCTCCAAAACCTTGAGGTCCAAAGTCACCGAGGAAACACGATCGTAAATAGCTTCGATCCCAGGGAACAAGTTGTCGGGCTCACACAAGCTTGGGGGGGGGAGACGAAAGAACGCACCCCACGTCCCGAGCCTGAGGCCAGCCCCCTCTCTGCACACAAAAAAACAGACGTTTGAACTTCGAGGCGAGCCAGCGGCAGGCGTGGAGCTGGGGGTACCGCACACACCCATGATCTTTACTAAGGATCGGCCGCCAATGGGTCCTGGGCCCCATGCCCCTAGACCCCAAGACAGGAAGTTGAACCCCGAAAGTCCTGGAAAGTTCCTGTTCAGCAAGTCCCGCCCAAGACGCGTAAGCTTCACGAAATAGGCGAGCAGTCATAACCCCATCGTCCCCTCTCTTGGCTCGTATGAACGCTGCATCCAGCTGGGCGTGCACGCGCTTATAGTCCATCGGCTCGGGCTGTGGTCCGAAGGGTACTTCCGATGGGAGAGGTGGCGGGGGCCTGAACGTGAGGTAGTGCATCTGAGCTAGCCCAGCGTGGAACTCGAGACAGACTGGGCTGTGCGGAAAGAAACCAGCGTCCTCGATAATACGGACTTCAGCGGTTCCCTTGGAAAGCCCAGAAGACACAACGAAGTAGTCGTTGACTTTGCCCGCTCCAGCGTGACAGGTAGGCTTGCTGGGGTCGATGACTTGACCAAGCAGGGTGCTCACGAAAAAGGACTTGGCGAGTTCGGATGGCTCCATGTTCCAGTCTCCCCCGACAAGAAATGGTTTCCCGCGGGTGGACCCTTCCGCCCCTATCGCCGACAGTATCTCGAGGTTGGATTCCGAAAGCCCTTCCGAGTCACGTATATACACAGAACAAGCTTGAAACACGTCCCCTTGGGGCGCATGCACTAGGGCCGTGATGGCCCTGTGGGGGGCCAGCTCGAGCCCCGAGGGCGCCCTATGAAGCCCAAGGTTGGCGCTACACAGGATAGAGACTCCCGCAGAAGGGCCGCCTTCGGGCCCAGTCGTGCCAGGGATCCAAAGCGATTTGAAACCGAGGCCAAGACAAACAGAGGAAGCTCTATCCAGAGCCTCCTGCGTCAAAAGCTTGTGTTCTTGGACTAGAATAACTTCAGCATCGATACTAGGCAGCCACTCCTTCACCGACCCCCAGGCGTTACCGTTGACCGACGCGACCCTCGGACGGAACGACTGATGTCCTGGGGGTGGCGGGGGCAAAAAGGGACCTCCAAAAACGGTGCCAGGGTGCCCTGGCTCCGAGGAGGCAGCATCCCTAGCTCGCGCGTTGGGGCTAGCATTTCGAGGCAAAACAGGAATAAGTTGGGCACGAGGAGGAGGGGTCCTGACAGCCTGCATGCGCTGTCGACCTCCCTCCGAAAAGACTGAACTGGTACACCTGTCAGGTGTTGCAGGCATAGAAAAGTGGAATCCCCCCCTTCAGGCCTGCTGACCGTCAGGGGGGCTAAGATTTTGCTGCTCACTGGGCCGCTCGCTTGAGCCGCTGCCCTCAGAAGTCGCCTGCTGCTGCTGAACTCGCTCCGCAACTCGTGCTGCATGTTCTCGAACTCGACTGACTGAGGCGGCTGGCTGGCTGACGCCGCTGGCCGCGGCGCCGCCGCTGCCTGAGGCACCGCCAGGATTCGACCCAGCTTCTTCAGCGCCTCCTTCACGAACTCCGCCCCCAGCCGACACGGCTCCGTCGCAGCCCTTCCTGCGCTTTGTGGCCATGCGCTTGAGGTAACCGTCGTGCGCGGCCTTGGCGACAGCCGCACGCTCCATTGCTTCGGCGAATAGGGCCTTGGCTGCCTTGCCGATGTGCTCCTTGAAGTCGGCCCGACGTCGCTCCACCTCGGAGGAGGAGGAGGAGGAGGAGGAGGAGGAGGAGGGAGGAGGAGGGAGGAAAAGGGAGGAGGAGGAGGAGGAGGAAAAGGAGGAGGAGGAGGAGCAGGAGGAGGAGGAGGAGGAGGAGGAGGAGGAGGAGCAGGAGGAAGAGGAGTAGGAGGAAGGAGGAGAGGAGGAGGAGGAGGAGGAGGAGGAGGAGGAGGAGGAGGAGGAGGAGGAGGAGGAGGAGGAGGAGGAGGAGGAGGAGGAGGAGGAGGAGGAGGAGGAGGAGGGAGGAGAGGAGGAGGAGGAGGAGGAGGAGGAGGGGAGGGGGAGGAGGATGTTGATGATGATGCGGAGGAGGAGGAGGAGGAGGAGGAGGAGGAGGAGGAGGAGGAGGAGGAGGAGGAGGAGGAGGAGGAGGAGGAGAGGATGGCCAAAATCAGTGACATGGCAGGTTCACAGACCTCGCCTCCCCTCACCGAGCGCATTCCACTACTCGCGAAGTGCTTACTTGCAAACGTCAGAGAAAAACACATGTCTGCTTCGATGTAATTTATATATTCCCGCGGCGGGTCCAAGCCATATGAGAGTATCCACTTTTTCGAGTAGTGGAACGCGCTTGTCTATCCCCGTTGGAGGAGAGGTGAATGAGGAGGATGGCGAGGAGGAGGAGGAGGAGGACGAGGAGGGGAGGAGGAGGAGGAGGGAAGTAGGAAGAAGAGGAGGCGGAGGCGGCGGCGACGGCGACGGCGACGGTGACGGCGACGGCGACGGCAACGGCGACGGCGACGACGACGCGAACAGGGCCCCCCCTGAGTTGCACGGGGGTGGGGGGCTGCCCTGGCCACGGCGACGGCCACGGCGACGGCGACGGTGGCGTCAGCGGCGCTGACGACGACGGCGACGACGACGCGCACAGGGCCCCCCCCTGAGTTGCAAGGGGGGAGGCCCCCCCCTGAGTTGCAAGGGGGGAGGGCCCCCCCCCCTGGCGCCAGCGCTGCTCCAGCGCCGTCGGGCAGCGACGACGACGATGACGACGACGACGACGACGACGACGACGACGACGACGACGACGACGACGACGACGACGACGGACGACCGACGACCGACGACCGACGACCGACGACCGACGACCGACGACCGACGACCGACGACCGACGACCGACGACCGACGACGATGACAACGACCACAACGACGACGACCACACCGACGACGACGACGACGACGCCCCACGTTTCGGACCCTACCCCCTTTTGCCCCCCCTTTGGGCAGGGACCCCCTCCTTTCTGGTTCGAACCCACACGCCCCTGGACAGGGGGGGGCTCCCCCCCCCGGTTCGACCCCCCTTGCACTCGGGGGGGAGGGGCCGTCCCCTGGTCCGAACGCCCCCCTTTGGGCAGGGGGAGGCCCCTCCCCCCGGGCTCGAACCCCCCCCCCCTGGAGGGGAAGCCCCCCCCCCCTGGTCAGGGAGGCCCGTGCCCAGGGCGGGGGGGCACCCTCCCAGTCCCCCAGGGGTGCTCCATGTGTGCCCCCCACCCCCCACCCCCGGTTCCAGCGGGCCAGGGTGTTTGTTGCAGGCGAGCGTCCACGAGGACCGAGGATAGGCGGGGGCCAGGTGGAGCCCTGCAAGTCTGCGATGAGAGCGAGGCGGCGGCCCAGAGGATCCCGGCGGACCCCATGCTCCGAGAGGCCCCGGGAGGTGAGTGTCCCCAGGAGAGCCCAAGAGGCCCCAGGTGAGGCCCCATGATGGGATCTCTGACCGTCGTTCTGCGTCTGCCCCAGGGTCGGCCGAAAGCGTACTTTGCTGTTGGGCTCGGTGCCGATCTTTTGCCCACCCGACTTCACTTCTGGGCTTGCCGTGGCCAGTGAACGTGGCGCGCCTGCTCTCCACATCCCCTTCTCCTCCATTGCCATCCTTCCCCTCCGCCTCCACATCCTCCACCGCGGCGTTTGCCTTGTGCGACATGTTAGCAGACTTTTCATGGCTTGGTTTCTTCCTGCTGTCTACTCGATGCAATTCAAGGACGGATGCCTCGACCAGCGCTACCACGACCACAACCCCGAAGTTCAGCTGCAGGATGGGCGCGCGCGCCCTCGCGGAGTGCGGGCAGACGGGTGGCGCGCACCGCTGCTTGGCACCTGGGAGCTGCGACGCGCGCTTCGTCCTGGGGGCCGGCGGGCGAGCAGGAGGAACGGTCAAGGGGAAGAGCAGGAGGGGGAAGAGGCGGATGATGATGAGGTCGAGGGGGAAGAGGAATATGGGGGGGGTGGAGAAGGACCATGAGGAGGAGGAGGAGGAGGAGGAGGAGGAGGAGGAGGAGGAGGAGGAGGAGGAGGAGGAGAAGGTGGAGGAGGTGGAGGATCGAGGAGGAGGAGGAGGACGAGGAGCGAGGAGGAGGAGGAGGAGGAGGAGGAGGAGGAGGAGGAGGAGGAGGAGGAGGAAGGAAGAGGAGGACGTTCGTGACTTTCGAAAACTGAAATGATGAGAATCCCATAGCCCTGCCACACACTCGTGATTGCGGAAGTTGAAATACATGGTGAGACCACCATTGCCATGCTCACCGTTTTTGATGCTGTTGCTAGTAAATATAAGGTATAAGGTGATAGCAACTTCGATTCGCACCCCCCCCCCGGGAATTATCAAGTTCGGCCTGGCGCGGGATAAAAAGGGGGGGGGTCTATGTTAATCGGGGGCAGTGGGTTACGCGATCGAGTAAACCCACACACTTGTATTATGGCTGGAGTGATGATAGCTGAAGTGAAGCATGTGATAATGATGTTTGTGGCCGTTGCCCCGCCGATGCCGTTGGTGACGCCAGTCAAGAGGAGATGAGGGAGGAGAGTGGGGAGGAGATAAGATATGTTCTTGTTCAATAGACATGGACATCGATCTGTGGTTCCCACGAGGAAACGAACACAAAGGAACGCGATCTTCGGCGAAACGATTCTGATCAGATCTGAGAGACAGAAAACTGCTCGGCGGCCCCTGGGCCTGCTGCCACCCCCGGGCCCGCGGTGCAGGACCACCCCCTGCCACTTCCTCTGGTGTCGAGAAAGTGCCACGCCTGCTAGGCCTTGCGACATTGGCGCGTATAGAGACCGCGGTGAAGGACCACCCCCTCTGTTCTAAGCCTTGCGACATTGGCGCGTATAGACACCGGGGTGAGGGACCACCCCCTGCGCACCCCCTCTGGTGTCGAGAAAGTGCCACGACTGCTATGCCCTGCGATATTGGCGCGCAAGGAGACCGCGCTGAGGGACCACCCCCTGCCCACCCCCTCTGGTGTCGAGAAATCGCCAGCCTTGCTATGCCCGGCGACATTGGTGCGTATAGAGACCGCGCTGAGGGACCACCCCTGCGCATCCCCTCTAGTGTCGAGAGAGTGCCACGCCTACTAGGCCCTGCGACATTGGCGCGTGTAGAGACCGCGCTCAGGGACCACCCTCTGCGCATCCACTCCGTTTTCGAGAAAGTGCCACGCCTGCTAGGCCCTGCGACATTGGCGCGTATAGCGTCCGCGCTGAGGGACCACCCCCGGCGCACCCCTTCCGTTGTCGAGACAATGCCACGCCTGCTGGGCCCTGCAACATAGGCGCGTATAGAGACCGCGCTGCGGGACCACCCCCTGCGCACCCACTTCTGGTGCCGAGAAAATGCCTCACCTGCTGGGCCCGTCGACATTGGCGCGTATAGACACCGGGGTGAGGACCACCCCCTGCGCACCGCCTCTGGTGTCGAGAGAGTGCCACGCCTGCCAGGCCCTGCGACTTTGGCGCGTAGACAGACCGCGCTGAGGGACCACCCCCTGCCCACCCCTACTGGTGTCGAGAGGGTGCCACGCTTGCTATGCCCTGCGACATTGGCGCGTGTAGAGACCGCGCTGCGGGACCACCCCCTGCGCACCCCCTCTGGTGTCGAGAAATCGCCAGCCTTGCTATGCCCAGCGGCATTGGCGCGTATAGAGGCCGCGTTGAGAGACCACCCCCTGCGCATCCCCTCAAGTGTCGAGAGAGTGCCACGCCTATTAGGCCCTGCGACATTGGCGCGTATAGAGACCGCACTCAGGGACCACCCTCTGCGCATCCCCTCCGTTGTCGAGAAAGTGCCACGCCTGCTAGGCCCTGCGACATTGGCGCGTATAGAGACCGCGCTGAGGGACCACCCCTGGCGCACCCCTTCCGGTTTCGAGAAAATGCCACGCTTGCTGGGCCTTCTGGTGCCGAGAAATGCTTCACCTGCTGGGCCCGTCGACATTGGCGCGTATAGACACCGGGGTGAGGACCACCCCCTGCGCACCGCCTCTGGTGTCGAGAGAGTGCCACGCCTGCCAGGCCCTGCGACATTGGTCCGTATAGGGACCGCCCTGCGGGACCACCCCCTGCGCACCCCCTTCTGGTGTCGAGAGGGTGCCACGCCTGCTGGGCCCTGCGATATTAATTGGCGCGTACAGAGAGCGCGCTGAGGGACCACCCCCTACCCCTTTCGGTGTCGAGAAAGTGTCACGCTTGCCAGGCCCTGCAACATTGGGACCGCGGTGAGGGACCACCCCGTGCGCACCCCCTCCGGTGTCGAGAAAGTGCCGCGCCTGCTAGGCCCTGCGACATGGCGCGTATAAAGACCGCGCTGAGGGACCACCCCCAGCGCACCCCCTCTAGTGGCGAGATTGTGCCACGCCTGCCGTGCCCTGCGCATCCTACACGTGTGTTTTGTGTATGGCGTGCCATGTGTATGTGTATGATGCGTGTGCGGCCGTATCTGGACATGTGTCTCATGTGGGTGCCCAGTATGTGGTGCATACGTCTTGGGTGTATGATGCAGTGAACTCGCCAGGCGTGCACTAGCGTTGTACGGTGTATGTTGTGTGTGTGTGTGTTTGTGTGTGTGATTGTGCGAGTGTGTGCGCGCGTGCGGCTGCATGTAAACGCGTTTCTGTTGCACGTGCCGTGCATGGGTTGCGTGTGGGTGATGGGAGGGAGGAACTGGAGGAGGGGAGGAAGGAGGAGGGAGGGGAGGTGTGTGTGTGTGTGTGTGCGCGGGAGACGCGGGTGCGACGCGGCAGGGATGAAAATCAGAACCCCGCGAAACATGTGGGTAAATAATATGGGGATTATTACGGTAGATGAGTATTTTGGCATTAAACAAACTATTTTTGATTTTTCCGCAAAAATCATCCTGTAGGGGGACAGGCCCGTGTTAAGGTCAGGGGGCCGGGGGGTGTTCTCGCTGGGGAGGGGGCCGGTTCTTGTTTGTGCCAGAGGAAGGGGCGGGATTGTCGGAGGGGGGGATGCATTCTGTGTTGGGATTGCGTTCGTGAGCTGCGGGGGTTTATACAACGGTCGCGCATTCTCTGTCATGCCACCAGCCGGGACCCTTGCCGAAGCAGCAGAACAGCAATCTTACAGTCGAGGAGATCAACGCTTTGCGAGGGCTGAAGCACTGAGCAAGCAGCTCCTGACCTCGCGGCAAGTTGCTTGCCGAAGCAAGCGCGACGCCAAACTGGATGAGTTGTCTGCCTTGTCACTGCCTTCTCTGGACTGCCAGGGCCCCCCAAAGTGAACGCAGACGTGTCCCTCTCGATCCGACCGACCCGATTCGATGTCGATATCGGCCAACCCGATCCGGGCCGATCCGATATTCCGACGATTCGATACGATTCGATGTTTGCACGTCGCTGCTGTGCATCCTGGCGCGGCCAATCCGATTTGGTTGCGACCCCGTGCCGACGCATTCCGGTTGTGATGCACGTTCCGATCCGATCGGATCTCCCGACCCGGTTTTGCTCCAGCCTTCTGTGCCTGCTGTTGCTCCCAGCCTTTCCCCAGCCTCGCCCCTCAGCATCTTCTGGTCCCCACTGGGCTGTGGTATCTCAGTTCCACCAGCCCACCCTCCCAGGTGAGGATAGGCCTCGCGATACCCGCAGGAGCATGCATATACGTCCATTTAGGTGGGTGAGTCGGCCACTGGGCGACCAGGGTCCGTTAAAACCCTGGCATCCGCCGACATGTTGTTCCAATCCGCGGCCCTGACGCCCCGACCCCTTTCCCGAGGGATCGATTTTCGTTCTGGATCAATGTTTGATGGTCCTGGGGCCTAACGACGTCCGCCAGAGGCCATAATATAATAACGACGCCTGCATTGAACAAAAAGTCATCGTCGGATATCTGGGGACGATCCATAGACACGCTCACGGTGATGCAGGTAACGGCGATGTAGGTTTCGGTATTTTAGGTGAGTGTGGCTCGTGGCCAACCCAATTGTAGGAAAGGCCTGCTCGTGCTTTCCCACGCTCTGTTCTGCGCGGGTTCGGCGTCGCAGACGTCGCCGTAACCTCGGGTGGATGGCAGTGGAGGGTACTGAGGCCAACTCCCACCTCGACCCGCCCGAAAATCGCCTGCACCGAAAAAACACATCGTCGAAGCCCTTGGGGGCGCTGCTCAGCGGCCCCTCGCGCGCGGGGGCCGCCGCCACCCGCCCGAGCATCGCCTGCATCGAAACACCACATCGTCGGAGCCCTTGGGGACGCTTTTTTCCTCGGCCCCGCGCGCTCGGGGGCCGCCGCCACCCGCCCGAACATCGCCTGCACCGAAACACCACATCGTCGGAGCCCCCGGGGACGCTGCTCAGCGGCCCCCCGCGCGCTGCGGGGCCACGGGGGAAGGCGGCGGCGGCCGCCCCCGCCCGTGGCGTCCGCCAGGCTCTCGCCCGGCCGCGAGGGCGCCCATGCCCTGTGGTCCGAGGCCCGTGCGGCTGGGGGCGGGGCGGCGAGGCAGGGGGGCCACGAGGCAGGAGGGCCAGAGGAGGAGGAGGAGGAGGAGGAAGAGGAGGAGGAGGAGGAGGACGAGCAGGAGGAGGAGGAGGAGGAGGAGGAGGAGGAGGAGGAATAGGTGTCCACACCGCTGCTCTCGCCCCGTTTTTCGTCTTTTGGGGCCTCCTGGGAGGCTCTCGTCGCCGCCGCCGGAGGCGCCGCGGAGTCCTGAGCAGGACGCGCCCCCGGAGAGGTCCGGGGAGTAGCGGTCTCGGCACCTGTTGGTTTCCCTAGAAGGGCGAAGAGACAGGATCAGATTTGAGCCAAAGGGTCTTTTTGGCAGAATGTGCCTCAACACGTGTGCGCCATGGTTCATGTCATCGTTCGGGCTGGATGGGGTGCTGGATTCTAGAGGAACAAAAAACATACAGACACAATGAATCGTCGATTCCCAGGAAAATATGCGAAAACATGGGAAGTGGGGGGAGGACGACAAAAAAACCAGAACATATCAGAAAATATGGGGAATCCTGTTATTTGTGTCTATCTATTTGTGTGTCCCAGGGCCCCTTCATGGATGTGGGTAGAACGCGTTGACCTTGGCATCGCTGGTCCGTGAGGGAGGAGGCCACGGCGCCATGAGCCGAGCATTTTCTCTGGGTGGAGGGCTAAGGGGGAATCTGAAATGCTGTCTCTACGGATTTTCGAGGCTTGAGTCTGCAAAAGGTGCATCACAGGACGGATTGACTTTCGAGGCGCAAGAAAAGCCCATATGGATCTCGCCCTGAGCCCTCCACCCTGAGAAAATGCCCAGCCGGAGCGTTCCCGAACGCTCTGGCAAGGCCGCGGCGCCCGAGACATCGTCCAGAGCCGCGGGATCTTAGAGACTCTTGGTTTGTCCTCGATTTGATTATCGTCCTGGCTTCGCCTTACATTAAGTCGGGCCCGTCCCTCTACAGGGGGAACATTCAGGAATAGTAAACAAATTGTTTAAGGACTATTTTTTGAGTATTTTTTGACAATTTTGAAGTATTATTATTCTTACTACGATTATAATGGTTTCAATTCATTTGTCGTCGAACATCCCCCTGTTGGGAGACACGCCCGACTTAAGCCTTACAGGAGGGGGAGGGGTGGCGGACGGACGTGAGTGGCTGCAGCGGCGGGGGGCGCTGAGAGGAGGACAGCGCACGGAGCGCCGAGGAAGACGAAGGGGTGAGAGGAGGGAACGGTACCGAGGGCCAGAGGAGGAGGAGGAGGAGGAGGAGGAGGAGGAAGAGCAGGAGGAGGAGGAAGAGATGCGCACACCGCTAGTTACCCTCGCCCCGTGAGAGGAGGGAAAGGTACCGATGCCGCTACCCTCGCCTGATGATGTGCCAACCTTCTTTAGCCTTGATCACCAAACATAATTTCGAGCACCAGAACAACAAGTACCGAACCTCGAGGGTTTTCACACGTCGGGCCCTGGGAGACACTGTTTCGACACTCTTTCGACACTCTTTCGACACTTTTCCCAGTGCTCGAAATGATTTCTGGGATGTGGTCCTTAAGTACGATGGGAGTAAGATAGCCCTCGCCCCGTTTTTGCATTTGTTGGAGGCCTCCTGGGAGGCCCTCGTCGCCACCGCTGGATTCGCCTCGAAATCCGGGTCAGAAAGCATCCCGGGAGAGGTCCGGGGAGTAGCGGTCTCGGCAGCCGTTGGGTTTCCCCAGAGGGGCGTGGGGGGGGGGGGAGGGGGGAAGGACGAGAGGGGGGTCGGGAATCTGGGCCTCCCAAAAGGGGGTCGAGTAGATGGGGTCGGAGGATCGTGCTGCATCGACGATGCGGCTCGATGTTGAGCTCGATTGTCTCAACGCCGACGTCGCCGATGCATTGCCAATGCATCGCCGATGCATCGCACACGCGGCGCGGCCCTCCGACCCATCTACTCGGACCCCATTCGGGAGGCCTCTAGGGAAGGTTTTTTGGCCAGAAGCAGCTAGCAACACGATCAACAGAACGCTGGGATTGAGAATTGAGAGGCAGGTTGGACAACGCCACGTGTAGACATCTGCATCGGTAATTAGGCCTGAGAACCGACGCCCAGCATCATCGGCAGCAGCGCGCGACGTCTGAGAAAGAGTGGCGCCGGCGGAGGTCAACGCGGTGCTAAACGAGCACACGCGGCTGCCGATGCAGCGAGGCCAGGAAGCAACCCACCGCCGACAAAAGCAGCACGGCGCAAACGCGACGCGGCCCTCGCGGCGCAGACAGCGCTGCGCTCGGATAGCGAGGCCGCTGCCCCGACCGAACGGAGCCTTTCGCCTGCCCAGCAGGTCGGGGGCATTTGAACCCCATCTACGACAGGGCGGGTCACCTGGCCCGAGCAGGAATGAGGCCGAGAACCACCTTCACGGGACCATTTCCAAAGGGTGCCAGGTGACTGTGAGCCTCCCACGACCGCAGGGCGCCACGCGGGAAGGGGGAGGGCGGATCAGCAGGATGAAAGGGAGGAGAAGGAGGAGGAAGATGAGGAGGGAGGAGGAGGGGGAGGAGGAGTAGGAGGAGGAGGAGGAGGAGGAGGAGGAGGAGGGAGAGGATGAGGGGGAGGAGGAGGATGATGATGATGAGGAGGAGGAGGAGGAGGGCGGCGGCGGCGGAAGAGGAGGAGGAGGAGGAGGAGATGGAGGAGGAGGAGGGAGGAGGAGGAGGAAGAGGAGGAGGAATGATGAGGATGGGGCTTGTCTTCCCGGGGGTGCTATAGGGGTGCTTCGGCTGCGTTGGCGACCCTCTCTCTCTCTCTCTCCCCTCCCGCTCTCCTCTGTCGTGTCTGCTGCCCATCCCGTCTCCTGTTCCTCCTCCTCTACCTCTCTTGTCCTCCTGTTGTGCCTCCTCGTGCCGTCCGCTCCGCGTTCTCGCTCGCTTCCAGGGTTGCCCCCTGTGGCTGTTGAGCTGTTCGCGTTTACAGTCCTTCCGCCCCGCGAAGCGACGACTGGCAGTGGTCGACGTGACGAATGCCACAGCTCTTCGGGGAACGACAGGTCCGCCGCCCTCTAAACTCGAAGGAGGAGGAGGAGGAGGAGGAAGAGGAGGAGGAGGATGAGGAGGAGGAGGAGGACGGCGAGGAGGAGGAGCCGGAGGAGGAGGATGCGGAAGAGGAGGCGGAGGCGGAGGCGGAGGCGGAGGAGGAGGAGGCGGAGCAGGAGGAGGAGGAGGACGAAGCGGAGGAGGAGGAGGAGGAGGAGGAGGAGGACAAGGACGAGAAGGAGGACGAGGACGAGTTTGAGGAGGAGGGGGAGGAGTAGGAGGAGTAGGAGGAGGATAAGGGGGATGATGATGATGATGATGACGATGGTGATGATGATGATGATGATGATGATGATGATGATGATGATGATGATGATGATGATGATGCTGATAATGATGATGATGATGCTGATGCTGATGATGATGATGATGATGCTGATGATGTTGATGATGCTGATGCTGATGACGATGATGCTGCTGCTGCTGCTGCTTCTGCTGATGCTGATGTTGTTGATGATGATGCTGCTGATGATAATGGTGCTGCTGATGATGCTGATGATGATGCTGATGATGATGCTGCTGATGATGCTGCTGACGATGATGATGACGCTTATGATGGGGTTGACAATCATGATGATGATACTGATGATGTTGATGCTGAAGCTGATGATGATGACGATGCTGCTGCTGATGCTGGTGCTGATGATGATGCTGATGCCGATGATGATGACGATGGTGATGCTGATGCAGAGACTGGTGCTGATGCGCATGATGATGCTGACGAGGATGCTGATGATGAGGATGGTGATGCTGATGATGAGGATGATGATGATGATGATGACGATGCTGATGATGATGCCGATGCTGATCATGAGCATGAGCATGACCATGATGATGACGATGACGCTGATGATGCTGATGATGCTGATGCTGATGAGGCCGATGCTGATGATGACAACGATTCTGATGATGATGCTGATACGTTGATGATGCTGATGATGATGATGGTGGTGATGATGATGTTGATGATGCTGATGCTGGCGGTGGCGATGATGATGATGCTGATGATGATGATGCTGATGATGCTGATGCTGGTGCTGATGATGCTGACGATGATGATGATGATGATGCTGATGATGATGATGATGATGATGATGATGATGCTGATGATGATGATGATGATGATGATGATGCTTACGAGGATGATGATAAGGAGGATGATGATGATGATGATGATGATGATGATTATGATTATGATGATGATGCTGATGATGATGAATATGATGATGATGATGATGATGATGCTGATGCTGATGCTGATGCTGATGCTGATGCTGATGATGCTGATGATGATGCTGATCATGACGATGCCGACGATGACGCTGATGCTGATGATGCTGATGAGGATGATGATGATGAGGAGGAGGAGGAGGAGGAGGAGGAGGAGGAGGAGGAGGAGGGGAATGATGAGGCCCAGGAGGCGGAAGAGGAGGAGGACGAGGAGGAATAGGAGGAGGACGTCGGGAGGGATGAGGATCAGGAGGCGGCGGCGTAGGAGGCGGCGGCGTAGGAGGAGGAAGAAGAGGAGGAGGCCGAGGCCGAGGCGGAGGCGAAGGAGGACGAGGGAAAGGACGGGGTTGTGGAGGTTGAGGAGGTTGAGGGGGATCAGGAGACGGATGGGGAGGAGGATCAGGAGGAGGATGAGTGGGAGTTGGAGCAGGAGGATGATGATGCGGAGGGGGGGGGGGGAAGCGAAGGAGGAGGACGAAGAGGAGGATGCGGAGGAGGAAGAGTAGAAGGTGAAGGAGATTGATGAGGCAGGGGAGGAGGTGGACGCGGAGGCGGAGGAGGAAGATGAGGAAGAGGAGGAGGAGGAGGAGGAGGAGGAGGAGGAGGAGGAGGAGGGGGCGGTGAAGAAGAAGGAAGCGAGGCTGGTGACGCGGATGAAACTGAGGATGAGGATGATGGTGATCAGGAGGAGGAGG